TTGGACATTTTCTACTCGTCTCTTGTCCATGATATTCATGTTTGAGAAGATAAGTGAGCAATATTCAAGTAAGGGCCTTATACACATTTTGAAGAGTTTAGGCTTAGCCTTACTTGTCAAGAAGTTCTTTATTATAATCCGAATCATTCGTCTGGATTTAGAGACAATAGTTGAGGCATGCCCTTCGAGTTTTAGGCTTCTGGAGTAACTGATACCCAGATCAAGCGCTGATATAAGTGTCTGAACTCTACATTTTTTTAAGTAGAGTGGTATATCATGGTGACGCTTACTAAAATTCATTAGGCCACATTTGTTGTGGTTAAACGGTAGTTGCCATGTCTCGCTCCAGGTACTTAAGTTATCAAGATCACTCTGAACCTTAGCTATGTTTTCGTCCAGATCTTCAGGCTTATAGCTGTATACTATTTTCAGATCATCAGCATATAAGTATGCTCTTCCAAATTTTGTAGTATTACATATATCGTTTATGTACATCAGAAACAAGAGTGGACCTAGGACACTTCCCTGGATAACTCCACTGGTTATTGGTCTTGGTGATGAAAGACATTCGTTGTACTTAACCATTTGTTGTCGCCCATTTAGGAATGAAGCAAACCATGAATGTAGTGGATTAATGATTCCGAATGACTTTAGTTTAAATAGGAGCCTTTTGGGTGGGACTTTATCAAAAGCCTTTTTAGAATCGAAGAAAAGGACTGATACTAGAAGCCCTTTATCTTGTCTATGCGTGATATCGTGGAAATAATCTAACAGACATGTATCACATGACCTGGACCTCAGATTGTTACTAAGTAGATGTTGTATTTTCTCTGCCTTAACTACTTTCTCCACAACCCTAGATACTAACGAAGTTATGTTTATAGGTCGGTAATTTTCAACGTTCACTGTAGGCCCAGATTTTATTGTGGGGATGATATGTGTAGTCTTCCATCAATTAGGGTAACACTCTGTGGAGAGAGATATAGTAATTAGTTTGAGAAGAATAACACACAGATCATTGCTACCATTTTTCAGCATGCTGGCTGGAATACCAACTGGATTTTCAATGTAAGAGTGCTTCAGTGTACTAATCGCCTTAGAAGTGTTCTGTACACTGAAGTCAACACTGACGATTTTTCAGGAAGGAATTTCGGCCAGATGCGATTCATTTGTTGAGTTTTCGTTTGTTAATGTGGCACAAAATTGTTCGCTAAAGAGCTCTGTGATACTGCTAGGGTCTTCATACACTTGGTTGTCCTGAATAAATATGTTACCTCCTTTCAGTTTGCAGCATTTAAGTTTATTCCGAAGGAGTTTTATAAGTGTAGAGGATTCACTGGTCAACTGAACAGCACGCTTTTCCTGTTCGATTGCCTTTTTAGTACGTGTTATTTCTGCCTCGACACATATTTCAGTCATCGTCACTAATGAGGAGAAGTCATTACAGTTATGAAGTCTGGAAGCACGTCTTCAAAGACGTTTTCGTATATGACCTGGCACACATAACTCCTTAGGAATTTTGGGTCTCCAGGATCCTAAGGGTGCAAATTTATTGAATATATTATTTGTGTTACGATAAAATACACTTATTAGTTAATCATAATATTGTATTGTTTGCGGTAAAGTAGTTAGTCCAGTCAATGTTTCTAAGGTAATTCCGGAAGTTTTCCCAATCAATCCTACGAAAGTCGTCACGAAGTCTAGCTTATTTACTTTTCATAGTTGTAGCTCCTATATCAATGCTGCATATGACCATATTATGATCGCTACCTGGGAAATATTTTCCAACATATACAGTATTAGGAATGAGATTGCTGGTGAAAACTAAATCCGATGTATTTTGATTTCTGGTTGGGCCGTTAGCACTCTCCAATCTCTAAGCATTCAATAAGTGATTCGAATCGTCTGGGTGCTTTGATTGGAAACCAAGAGATTTCCGGCATGTTGAAGTCACCACAACTAGCCTTGTTTGTAAACGGTAGGGATGAAACAAACGTGAATACTTCTGACAATAATCCTAAATCTCCTGTTGGTGCTTTAGGCTGACGGTAGACACATCCGAACAGTTAGGAAACTGCATTTGAGGCTTTCAGAACGATCCACGCAGAATCTGGTAATCTGTTTAGTTCCGATATATCACATAAGAGTGAGTTTAGACTAGAGTGGGCATATATGAAGCATCCTCCACCTCTTCCTTGGAACCTATCACTTCGAGATAGATCATAGTTTTCAAGAGATATAGTAAGATCAGAAATATTACTGGAGGTCCATGCCATTATAAGTTATGGTTGGCAAATAGTATCAAACATGAGTAGATCTGTCTTTTTATTACAGATCGAAAGAGCATTAATAAGACATATTAAACAGATGTCCCGCTAAGCTAAAATAGTTTAGGGTATCTTGAGTAAAGAAGTTACTATGACCAACGTGGGTATGGTATGAGGAGTGAGGTGGCATATGTTAAGTAAATTACTGAAATTTATAGGAGGGTTTTATAGCCCGGGGGAAAGTAGGAGAACGTTGCCTGTTTCAGATTGTGCGAGGGGAGTGCTTTTATACTCTGCATGTGGTATGAAATGACTTGAGCTATTTGTCGCGCAAGAGGTACCACAATTGGCTGGACCCTAAAAAATTTTGAGTAGGCTGGCATTGCAGTGCACCATCGTTTCTAGTAATGTCTTGACACAACGCGTTACTAAGGCTATATTTATTCGGAGTGGTTTTAACTTGCGGAGGGTTTACCATGTACGACTGCCAGTTTTTATGACCTTTTCTAAATTTGGGCGTCACGTTTACCAGCTGGCTTGGTAGAGTAGGATGCACCGTGTTTTCATTATGAGCGTTTTTGCGAATAAGAGCCTGGTTACTAAAGATAGGGTGTGGGGTGAAAAATCTTCTACTTCCGCAGTTACTAATAACTCTAGGGTTTGGTGGTTGTGCAGGGTACCTAGCTCTTGGATAATAATTATTTTTGTGCATGATCAGATGTTCGTCTGACATGTTCTTATTATTATTAGTCTTAAAACTTAGACAGGTTAGGGGTACATCACATGACACTAGGAAAGTCTCAGGTAATCGGGTTTGAGTCCTACCTACTTTCTTATTTGAGTCCCAAGATTTAGTGTGCTCACTTTTGTTAATGATAATAATTTATTCTCAAATAGTTGGGTAAAGATGGAGAGTGTTGTGACCCCGCAGAGGTGTTTTTCGAGAAAAATTCGGTTTTTTCGGTACTCTCGTGTAATATATTTTGGGGATCTAATCTTTAATTTATTAATCTGAGCTGGCATTGTGTTGCGTTTTGGGATATATTCATGTAATTCAACGTTCGAACAGCCTGGATTAGAAATACAGGTGTTGTTAGACTTTTCGATGATGGTCGGGATTCGTACTTTATTAAAAATTTAGAGTCCATAGACTCATCAAGATCTACCAGGTGGTTTATGTGTTTATTTATACCTATGACATTAAGAGTTGTCTCCAGTAGATTGTTTGTTGTGACACAGTCGCGCGATCCTGTCGCATCTCTGCTTTTTATACGACGTTGACGAGGCGTTAGATCTGTAGCAACCTTTATATCTTTGTACAGGGTTAATGAGCTTATATTTTTGCTCAAATGAGTAAATTGTTTGGTGTCGCTGCGGCAGCCAAATTTAAACAAAAGGGGGCAAGTTGGTTTATCCGGTTTTTTTCTGAGGCATGTGACTTGACAACTGACGTTTGCCATACCACACGCTTGTAAACAGGTATCCCTTGGCGAAGTCGAGGATGTGCGGTCAGGAAGACATTAGTATTTTCGTAACTTTCGAAACGTAGCGGCTTCGTTCGTAGGACTGATCGGTAAAAAGTGCGAGCGCGGGACGGAAGGGTTGACAAACAGGAAGCGATCCACGGTGCTCGAGTTGTCACAGTAGGTCTTTCACGGAGAACGGTACTAGGGGTAATGTGCCATGTTTTCTGCTCGAGTTGGCGTGCCACACCACCATGGCTCGTATCCATAGCCTGAAGATTGCGTTTGTAGGGTTTTGGACCAGGAAACGCTGCAGACGCACGATGGAACCAGACTGAGCGAAGGAACCAGAAACGACTATAACGAGCAAGTTCAAAACCATACATATACCAGATATATTCGGAACCAAGAGCGTCAGTGATCAGGCCAGCTTTCGCCAAGACTTGACTTTGGCTTGCCATGTTGTTGTTTGAGAATAAATTATTATTGCCGACCCTATTTGTAATCACCTACTTAAAAACGTGGCTGCACCAAACTGTTACTGTCTGCGTAAAATTGCGGTCAGAAACGGATTCTTATCATAATTTTACAGTGTAACCTTTTACAGTTAATACGGCAGCACCTGTAACAATTTGATCTTGCCTGTAAACTGGTATGCCTCATGTAATGCATTGTTATCTGAGAATAAATATTGTTTATATTATAATCAGTACTAGACCTCTAACTAAAGAAGTATAGTCTACATCAGGAAGTAAGCTCAATTTAGATATTTTCCGATTGGTACCGTGTTTAATACCATGGGGACCTAGTTACCATTCATTGTGAGGCAGTGTATAGTACAAATTCTATGCTTATAAGTCTTGTGCGCTTCTGTCAATGCATGTACACCTATCATTTTGTCCACTGAATTTTCCGTTGTCACACTATTTACAATCTGTTTTTAGTCGTTCGAATGTTTGAGAAAAGCAATATATTCATTTGGCGTGCTTATTTTCCACAATTTGTCTTTAATCTGTCTTTTTGGGTGAACGAATGTCTATAGTAAATTCGTCTGAGTTGAATTGTACCTAAACTTTGTATTAACTCTGTCGCCTTGAACATGGTTAGCTTTAATAAGATAGACGAATAAAAACTGCCGGTTTATATTGGTGACTCATTTATCATTTTGTTCTTTCACAAAATAGGCCTCTTATTCCGAACAAGATTGGGTCTTTAAAGTATAACAAATTACGAAGACTAATAGGTGTTAAGTGACCTACTGAGTTGCGATCACATTTCAAAGATTGCGTTACACCAACTGCATGTGTTATGAGGCTGAACTTTAAGGTAATTGTGGTTTGTAAATTTTCTTGATTAAAAGTTCAAAAATCTTTTTGGGACAGCCTACAAATGTGGATCTCTTGTTTTCACGAACAATGGTTTGGGTCTTTTGAGCCCAGTGGGCAATCAGATAACAGTTTTTGATCTTAAAAAGTAATTGTCTCGAGTATTCGTGTTCCATTTCTTTTTAAGAGATGAAGTGGCGTCTATTGATATCTCATCGTTTCATGATGTACGAATCTTGGCATTATCTCCTTCAATGCCTATACTAGTTGCCATTAATGATAGTAATATGTTATTGGGTTTTTCCAACAGTTGATTTTAATAGTTGGCGATGCATGTTTATGTTCACTTTCCACAGGAGCTGTGGTATCAGTGTATCCTTTCAAGGGGGTGGTTTCGGCAGTTTCATTCAGCCCAGACGGAAAGTAAGACATTTTTATACGTCTACTTATTCTAGGTTCCTCGCTATTGGAAAGGGTAATAATGTACACATTTTCTTCGCACCTTCTCCGAGCCGCCAGTTCAATCATTTAGAACTCTACCGTGTGTTTTACGGTTTCACGGATAGCGTTACTTGTATAGATTGGTCATGTGATTCTAGGTAAACTTAACAAAGTAATTACCTCTTCAGGTTTTTCGTAGCTGGATCTGTTGATTCCACTAGCCGGTTATTTTCGGTGTACAATATACCCAAGATATTCGTTTACACACTAGCCGGGCATAAAAACCCCGTTGTGGGGGCATTCATACTTCCTAACTTTGTAAATATACTAACAGTCAGCTCCGACGGCCTGGTTTGTTTGTGGGAGGCAAACATTTCGCTTGATCAACTGAAGAGTATTGAAGACTCAAAGCCTATCTCACTATTTAGGATCGGCAATAAGTGAGTCTAGTATGGAATTGTCTTAAACTTATCGAGTGTATGTATAATTTTTCGTACTTGATTGATGTTCACACAGTTCATGTTAATCTGGTTTTTATGGTAAAAGAAGCAACTTTTCGAATTATATCCATAATTTTACTCAACTAGTCATTCTTTAGACTCAGTTATTCGCTTATCCTTTTTTGAAAGACAGTTCCAAGGTCGTATTTAAACCAACCTTAGTTGCTCACAAATCGACAGGTAAATAATTTCTACTGATTATTGCCTCAGATAGCAGCATATGAGTGCATTTTTATTAGCGATTCAGCTGATTTGTAGTGTTGAATAGAATGATTGTGATAAAATGTCAGTCAGTCAGTTAGGACGTAGAACTTCGTACATGAGTGCATAAGTTCAGGTTTCCATACCACATCAGCACATGGACGCTACTGTCAGCGGAGAAGTAGAAGTATAAGCAGTGATGGGGAAGATTAGGGTCCGACGATATGATTCGAGAAGTATAACTCAGTGAGATAACTTTGGAAAGAGAAAGAGATGATGAAGAATGCAGGTTAGAATTTGAGAGAACACAAAATGAATGCACCTGCGCCATTGCCAACGGTTTTGAGCCATGTCGTTCCGACTCTCTAACCATCAGTTACTTTCGTCTCGCGGACCCCAACGAGGTAGCCTACATCTGCCAACATAACTCAGTTCACTGACTAGTGACTTGATGGATTTGTGCCGTGTTTTGATTTGGCCGCCCCTAGCCTTCATCCAACCTACTCCGACACCACAAAACATAGCTTGTCGAGGCAGTCGGTGGTCGCGCATTCGTAACACATGTCTCATCCACCTCAACTGATGAGCGTTCAATACCCTTGAATACCCTTTTCCTAACCCTAGCATCGCTTACTCGATGGTCAAAGGATATATGAGAAATGCTTCGAAGACATCTATAATCGAATACTAATAACCTAAGAATGTCCTCTACTCTTACCGGCCTTTTGGCATCTATTTGGCAGGACCGAGCAAACTGCTGCGCAGTAGGCTCGACTTTTGGTTAGCAAACGGATATCTCACCTGCACCATATGTGACGAGAGTCGGCAAAGACCACTCGATCCTTCTGTATCCGTGCTAAGATTTCGTCACAAGCTAGGCCATCAGCACGTATGAGACTCCCCAGGTAAGTGAAGCGGTCAACACGCCCGACTACTTCACTCCCTATCACTACTTCAGGTGCCGACGCAACCCAATCTTGAAGCAGCATTTTGCATTTCGACGGGGAGAATCGCATCCCGAACATGCTTGCATTGATACTTAAGGTAGTCAGAAGACTGCATTTCGTCAGCGTCTTCAGCGAATAGAACTGTCATCAGCATACTCTAAGTCGGCAAGCGTGTGTCCTGGTAGAAGGTCCAATCCTGAAATGTCAGATGATGACAATGTTAACTCTTGAAGCATATCTACGATAAAATTAAACAGGAATGGGGTGAGTGGATAGCCTTAATGGACACTACTTGAAGTAATCGATTCTGATAACAGTTCGCCATAAGCTCTCACTCGGCCTGTAGTTTTAGAGTAGAGAGTTTGTATAAGGTTAATGTACTTCTTTGATACACCTTTCAATGACAGACACTGCTACAAAACCTCACGATCCACAGAGTCAAATGCCGCCGTTAGGTCCAGGAAGACATCTATTGTAGGACGCCTAAATGTGTCTGTGTTCCAGGACCTATCGTAGTATGAAAATGTGGTCTATACAGCCACGTCCAGATCGAAAACCAACTTGGTTTCCCCTAATCTGCCCTTCACGAGGTTTCGTAGGATTGGATTACGCCTAGTTCCCAGATTCTACCTATTATCTCGGTCAATCTAACCGTTAAAACTTTTCCACCATCCATAAAAATCTCAGGGACAAGTCTGTCAGGCCCTGAAGCTCTCCCTTTCTTCAGATTTCCTATAGCTTACTGAACTTCGCAAAGACTGGGAGGACTTAAATCGACTTGCCATTCAGGATGACTGGAGATCGTGGGCATTGGAAGTGTGGCTGAATGCCAGTTGAACTGATCCCTGAAGTGTTCTGCCCATCGATCCAATCTCCTGGATTGAGAAGTAATGATACGACCATCCTTTTCCGAGATAGTTTTGCTAACGGATAGATTTCTAATACCAGTTTCTTTTATAAGGTGGAAAAGTTGTCTACTGTTGCCAGTCGTCTTTGCTTTCACCGGCTTGTTGAACGCAACTCTATCAAAATGTGGCGATCTAGATAGTTGTAAAATTCATAAGATTGATCATCCAAACGCTTTTCTACGTCAAAATGGTTGACTTTTTATAAACAAAGTAGTTGATAATTCATTCTGTATAAGCTTTGATAATTTCCTTTAACTGACCAGTGAGTGAAACGAAATTAAATACATAAACCACTTGTGAACAGTTAAATGTTTTAACCCAAGTTATGCAACGTCGAGTAAAAAGCAGAACTAAAACCGTTTTATTTTTACTCCTTTTAGAGGCATCATCGTCAGTGATTGTCTACTAATTCTATTGTCATGAAATATATTTTATTTGATTTAGTGTATCCAGGTGCTTGGTAAATTGTTGATGATGAAAAATAATTCAAAACCATTTTAGTCACTCGTTATACTGTTCGTTTTGACTTTTTCCTCTTCTCATATTTATTTTTAGATACCATTATACAAACTCTAACGATGTGCAAATCACTAGTCCTGTTAGTGCAGTGGCATTTCATAAGGACTTAAAGTTGCTTGCAACAGGATTCGAATCAGGGTTACTTTTATTGCATACATTTCCAGACTTCATAATAGTCAGTGAAGTAAAGTAAGACGTTATATTTTCTTTTTCCTGTTGTTATAGATTTCATCTTTTAAACAGTAAGAACAGTAGGTTTTCAGAACAAAATGATTGCATTACATTTCATAGTATGTGTGTACAGCTTGTGTCCTATTTTCTTTTTATCATGATTTTAGTTATGTTGTGAACATCCCTTTAAACGTCACAAACTAAGCTGTACGCATCTGATTCGAAACCGCAAAATTCATTTTATTTAACGAACTTTATTATTCTTGCTTCCTTTAAATTATTAAGAGATCTGGTTGCATAAAATTCTGACTTTTGTCCTCTATATTTTAGTCACCAGCTATCTAATTTTATCTTTTGTTGGTTAGAAATATGGTTTCCCGATTTCTCAGATACTGAATTTTAAGTTTTTTCGAAAAATTTAAACTGTTGGTTTTTTTTAAGTGTCCCCCTAGTCTTAATGAAGTTGTCCCCCTAGTCTTAATGAAGTTGAGAAAGCGTTAGGAAATCTGAAACGAGGACGAGCTGCAGGTCCTGATAGACTTACCCCTGAGATATTTAAGGATGAAGGTCCAGTTTTATCAGCTAGGTTGACTGAGATCTTAGGTATAATCTGGGAACTGGACGCAATCCCATCCGACTGGTCTCAATCCTTGATTGTCCCAATCTATAAGAAAGGACAGAAGTCTTCTTGTGACAATCACAGGGGAATAAGCCTAACTAACATAGTATCTAAAATATTGGCCTCAATAATACTTCGACGCTTAACGAAAGCTCGTGAAGAGCAAACTCGGGAAAACCAATCTGGTTTTCGACCTGGACGTGGCTGTATAGACCACATTTTCACACTACGACAGGTCCTGGAACACAGACACACATTTAGGCGTCCTACAATAGTTGTTTTCCTGGACCTTAAGGCGGCATTTGACTCAGTGGATCGTGAGGTTCTGTGGCAGTGTCTGTCATTGAAAGGTGTACCACAGAAGTACATTAACCTTATACAAGCCCTATACTCGAACACCACTGGTCGAGTGAGGGCTTATGGCGAACTGTCACCGGAATTCTCTACATCAAGTGGTGTCCGTCAGGGATGTCCACTTTCTCCATTCTTGTTCAATTTTATCATAGACATGCTCCTAGACATAAAATTATCCTCGTCTGGATTTTCAGGAGTAGACCTTTTACCAGGTGGCTCGCTTATTGACTTAGAATATGCCGATGACATTGTCCTACTTGGTGAAGACGCTGAAAAAATGCAGAGTCTTCTGACTACCCTAAGCAACAATGCAAGCATGTTCGGGATGCGGTTTTCCCCCTCGAAATGCAAAATGTTGCTTCAAGACTGGGTGTCATCGGCACCTGAACTAGTGATAGGGAGTGAAGTGGTCGAACGTGTAGACCGCTTCACCTATCTTGGGAGTCTCATCAGTGCTGATGGCCTGGTGACTGACGAAATCTCGGCACGGATACAGAAGGCTCGATTGGCTTTTGCCAACCTGCGTCACTTATGGCGTAGGCGAGATATCCGTTTGCTGACTAAAGGACGAGTGTACTGCGCAGTGGTTCGCTCTGTCTTACTTTATGGCTGTGAAACATGGCCAATGAGAGTAGAAGATACTCGACGGTTATTGGTTTTCGATCATAGGTGTCTTCGAAGCATTGCTCGTATATCGTGGGACACCCGAGTTAGCAACGCTGTTTTTAGGAAACGGGTACTAGGTAAGAATGGCAGATCAATCGATGAAGTGGTGAAACTTCATCAGTTGAGGTGGTTGGGACACGTGTTGCGTATGCCTAACCACCGACTGCCTCGTCGAGCTTTGTTTTGTGGTGTAGGAATAGGTTGGAAGAAAGCTAGGGGCGGTCAAACCAAAACATGGCATAAATCCATGAAGTCATTGACGAGTGGACTTAGCCATGTCGGTAATTGTCGACTACCTGGTTGGGGTCCGCGAGATGATAATAATCGATGGTTAGAGACCTTAAATGACATGGCTCAAAATCGTTCGCAATGGCGCCAGTGCATTTATTCTTTGTGTTCTCTCAAATCCTAATCTTCTGAGTTCTTCAACACCTCTAGCTTTTACTTTCTAAACTTATCTCATTGAATCACACTTCGTGAATAATATCTTCTAATTCTAACGTCTACGATTACTTCTAATACCTTTACTACCTCTTCTACTATTGGATTTGAATTGAAAATTATATCTCTGTGCTGATGTGGTATGGCGACATGAACTGATGTACTTACGTACGAAGTTCTACGTTGCAACTGACTGACTGACTGTTGGTTTTTAGTCGTTATCCGTTTTGAAATAAATGTTCTTTAGCGTCACTACGAAGCGATCATATATGTTTGAAACGTTAAAATATATAAGATTCATTGTAAAACTAGGTAGCAATTTCGTAGAAGACGCATCGTAGATTCTCTGATCCAAATATGTCATGTTTTATATATGCACTCGGGTTATTGGAAAACCACTACTTCATCTGTGGGGGGCTTCTGATCCCTACGGAGTAATAATGTAGCTAAAACTGTTCTTAAATATTTCCATACCAATATTGGTTTATGTTCTTACGCCCCAAATAAGGTTAGTATCCAGTTTTAATGTTTTGAATATTTATTTGAGTTCACTCTTACAATGAGTTATCGGGTACAAAAATTTCCAGTTATTTTCTCTTTTATACAGTCTGTTCACTAACAGCATAAACAGTCTAACGATCAATCATAATGGTGACTGGATTGGTGCAGGTTCAGAGCTATTCGGACAAATAGCTGTTTGGGAATGGAGATCGCAATCCTGTTACATGCGAGCTGATTCGCATTCAAAGGAAATGACTAGTTTGGCATACTCTCCTGATGGGTTACATTTAGTAACTGGAGGCTATGATAATAAAGTGAAGGTATGGCGTATATCTGGTGGAAGGTCTATTGTAACCTTTACCGAGCATACAGCCGGTGTAACTGGAGTTGCCTTCCCAGCTCAGAATTCCAAAGTCGTTCTGTCGGCCAGTTTGGATGGGACTGTTCGTGCTCACGATTTGATTCGGTACGTTTGTAATTGTTTCCTAATGTATTAGGAATGTATTTAGTAGCTGTATGAAGTTTACAAATCATTCTTCGGATTTTCAGCCTAGTGATATAAGCATACAAGTGATATGAGTCTCATGAGTACCATTTGTTATAGTTTAGATGGAGATATGATCTTGTTACCACTGTTGGAGTCGTTACAGTTCATAACTTAGTACCTAGTCAATCGCGTTTACCAGTTGACCTCCAGGTATTGTGTATTCTAGATCCCTAAGGTCTGGTCTGACATTTAAAGTATAGTTGATTATTCTTTTAGATTTAGAAACTGCAAACGTGTGAAAAACTTCTCTAAAGGTTCATTTTAGTTATGTTTGTTAACTCAAGGAATAAGAGCATTTCCCCATGTTGCGTATCTTATTATTCCTTGAGTGTATTTGTTTTCTGTTATACTGGTATTTAAAGCTACAGGAATTTCCGTACCTTTACTGTTCCTACTCGTCGCGTCCAGTTCTCGTCATTGGCCGTTGACACACGTGGCTCTCTTGTTGCAGCTGGAGGTTTGGATACTTTTGAAGCTTATGTATGGTCAATTAAGACAGGTCAACTATTAACCACTTTAACGGGACACACTGCTCCTATTAGTGCACTAGCATTTAGTCCTGCTATTTCTGGTATTGATATTGAATTGGCTACTGTTAGTTGGGACTGCACACTTCGATTGTGGGATGTTACAGGCAATTCGACTGATGAGAACAATTTATCTAGTATGGGTCTAACAAAAGAGGTTGTTAATTTCTCCTGTGATGGTGAGTTGTTTTTTTCCTAACTAGTCCATAAGCTCTAATTAATTCATTTTTTACCAGGTTCTTAATCTAGTTCATCTAATTTTAAATTAATGTGATGTACTAATGGAACTACGAAGTCAAGAAGCAATCATCGACTTGCATCTAGTTGGTTGCTATTTATTTGATTTATAACCAAGTAAATACAGGTGATCATTAGTTGATACATGAACTCCACAAAATATTAGTGAATATGAGTTATTTGAGTTTCATGTTGCTTCGTGTGGTCGTACAGACCTCATGCGTTATGGGCAAAGCTATTATGCATTTTACAAATTATGGTGTTTGAGATGCAGGCTAAATACTCACCTATCTACAAAAAATTTGCAGGATTTTGATCTGTTTTACTTGTTGGTTGTAGACTATTTCTTAAAAATTGGAAGACATATTAAATTTTCTGGTATTTGACTATGAACGGCTTCGAAACACTGAGTATGTTTAATAGAAACTCTGAGTTAGTAATGTTAATTTTCTTCGGCTAATACCGGATAAAATTGGTAAGTCGTATAGCTGGAACAAGCTTAGAAGCACTGCAAGTAAGTTAGTCATTGATCGACTTTTGATTTGAATTGTATAGGGAAGTAATAATTTGGTTGTAATCCATGATATGTGGCAAATTATTTGTATAAACCTTCAAATTTAACTCATTTTGTCTTAATTTTTCCTGTTACTGTTGGCTTTTCTATTTCTAATCTTTTATTTGTTCTTACACTCATCATTTAATGCGAATTGTGACACTGGTCTATAAATAGGTGCCAATGGTTTATTCCTATTTGACTGCCATGGTAATCTGTCGACATTAGCATTACCTGCGACAATATTTGTAAAGGACTTTCAGCTATCAAAATGGCATCTTTCACACGAATTTTCTAAGAATCAGTTACAGTGAAAAAATATTTTTGTTGTTGGAGACTATACGTTTAAGATGTAATGAGTTAGACTATTGTTTTCTTGTAGCAAACAAACCTCCTGATACCTGCCATCACTACACTTCATTGGGACATACATTAACAACAACTTAATCGGTTTATTTTTTTAACAGGAAACATTCACTTAGACAAACATATGTATGAAGTTCATATGTTTAAGTTGCTTCCCAACAACCTTTTAGTCGATACCCGAACAAAGCCAATATAGTGTGATGTCTAAACTTCTATCAGTTGAATGTTTATCTAACCAGCTACCTTCTTAGAGTCTGTGTAGAATTGAAACTTAAAATCACCACCTTCTTTATTCTCTAGTTAGTTTTTGAGTAAGCATTACCATTAAATTAAAAATGATGATGTGCTTAATTTAGCCACCTACAAAAAGTTTTTATTTTAGGCTCTGTAATTTGTACTACTTCTGAGTAGATCGAGTAAATTCACAAAATTTACACACCTTTGTGTCCATTATGTGGCATTGGTTACTCATATTTCTCACTTCAATTTAACAAAGATTGTTATTTTGTCATTGTAAATGGTAAATATTTATTATGTATAGTTTAAACATTTTTAGATTAAATGATATAAAAAATGAATAATACGTAAGGTTTTTAAATGGTCGTTAGTGTCATACAATTAGCGGAGTTTGCAGCAGTACCAATAGTCATAGTATGCTAGATCTGGTGCTCCTTTTTTTATTGTAAAATTTATAACTCGGGTTCCAGAGTTTTCACCAGACTAAAACTGCATGAATGTCATTCTAAATAAAGGAATACACAGTTAACACATCTATCTGTGAACCAGTGTCATGGTTTGTTGCGTAATATTCCTATACAATTAAAAAAAAAAGATGAATCCGATCATCCATTATCAAGGCGGGACTTATTATTTTGGAACAAATTCTAGTAAAACCGACTTACCAGATGTACAAATTATGTGTTACACCCGATATTTCATACACTGTCGTACGTACTACGCACTACATGTACTATTTTAATTTAGATGATGAATTATATTAATTTCTAATGCTGTATGCAATATGTGAGATTTTTCACATGTAAACTTACCTTATCGTTAGATATGTCTGTGCCAATCTAAAAGCAAAGTAATTGATTCATTTTACCTACTAGCAGTGCTTAAGATTAGACGTGTTACGTAAATTACTTCAAAATGTAGTTCTAACTGAACTATAATAAAAATAAAAATAATAATAACTGAACTGATTAGTATGTCTCAGTGGATATTCTAAAGTCCTAAATAGTATTTTCTTCATGCACCCTAATGTTTGTAATCAGTTCATTAGTTGTATTTAGTTTCATCCGAAGATTTGATCGTTTTTAACAGTAATGATTACTTCAACATTGATTACTGGATTGTATTTAAAAAGACTTGATTGTGTTTTTGTGTTAAATTACAGCTTTATGCGTCGCTTATCGAGGTGATGGTAAGCAGCTGGCTATTTCTCTTTTGAATGGTAACATTGTTTTCTATGATCCCAATGAAGGGGTTGAAATGGGAACCATAGATGGTCATCGAGACCTTGGGGTAGCACAGACTAGCGAGGACGACTTAGTTACCCCACGAAGAGCAGCTGAAGCTAAGTATGTTTATTATGGTGTATTGAACATAGTTTTGCAGATGGTTTTACTGGAGAATGTTGATAATTTGTTTTAAACCTAAACATTTTCACAAGGTCTGAAAATATTTGTCTTAAAATGATATATTAATATGACAAAGTTAACAAAGAAATTAAAATTGTATAATTACAATTCTTCTGGTAAATAGAGAGGAACTTCATTTGGCTACCGAATCAGAAATACGAGTACTCATGAGTACGCATATATATATATATATATATTCTATTTTCCTACAAAGGGAATCTATTTCTTGACCAGTGATATATATTCGTCCTTTAGGACATTTTCTGATGGTCATCAAATAACCTTCTCGCTTGACCACTTCTGATTGGTTCACTAAGTCGAAAAATACACCCTGTTAGCCATAACTAATATTTTAATTATCCTGTTTCACTACACATATTTAAGTGCTTTTATTATGTATTCTTGTTTATAGAAAATTCCAAACTATAACCTATTCTGTTGACGGTGAACATTTAATAGCAGGTGGAGATTCAAAATATATATGTCTCTACTCTGTTCCTGATAAATTATTAATGAAACGATTCGAAGTCACATGTAACCTTTCACTAGCTGGAGTTCAAGAGATACACGATCGGCGTAACTATCTACATCGTTTCAGTATTGAAACGATGAACGCCAAAGAAGCACAACGTCCTAGCTTGCGAATCCCATCAAGTATTAAGGGTGAAGATCGTAGTCGTCGCCAGTGGAGACCTGAAGTGAGGGTGTCTGCAGTTGGTTTTTCACCTACAGGTAAAGTAGCTTATTTCTATGAATTGACATAGTCTACGTTTTCGTACCTTGTCAATGTATTTCATAATATGTATTCCATTTGTATAATCAGTGTATTACATAGCTTACTCTCTTTCAATTTTTGTGTTCATAGGTGATGCGTTTGCAACTGCCACCACAGAAGGTATTCTTGTATATTCCTTACCATCTGCTGGGACAGGAATTGGTATAGGTAGTATTTTTGGTGCTCCGGGCCGTAGCGATAGTGGTTGGTTGTTTGAAACATTAGGTATTGACGAAGAGACCACTCCATCAAACGCTCGTACTGCACTCAATCAAGGTAGACAAGCAGAGGCGTTGGATATGGCTATTCGGTTGCAGTCGCATGAACTTGTTGAAGAAATTATTGAGTCAATTCCTGTCGACCAAAGTAAACGTTACTTAGATTATAATATCTTTTTTACATATTAGCTTAATTACTGGTATAACCTAGCTGTTGAATCTACTTAATCAAGTCGATTATAATATTTTGTACGTTCTGATTTTGAATTCACGTTTCTTGAAACATTTTACGAATTTAGTATTTTTGTCAAGTTATAGTATCAGTGTTTATTACTTCATAAATGATTAGCATAGTCAAGAGGTGGTTGTTATCACTTCTGAGTTTTATTATTTGATAGTATTCGTGCAATTTGAAGTCCTAATAACCGAGTAATTTTATTCATTGTTACGTAGGTGGACAGTAAATGTCCTTGAATGATAGAAGCAGATATGATTGTGGAAATATCTTGCTTGATTTAAGCCTCGATATCATATATCTGCATTGTGATAAGTAGCGTTGAGTGAAATTTCTTTCTTTCCATAAAAACAGTTAGATTTTACACAATTTTTCCGTCAGTTTCCAGTGATAAAGCTTGCTTCAGTACAAAATGTTAACGAAGGATGGTGTAAAAGTTTTCAGTTGATGATATTGAGTATTATTCTAATTTGGAGGAAGCTTCTGTGACTAATCAGATTATTTTCTTAAAAGTTATCGGAAATAAAAAAGAACTTAACAGTTATTCATGTTCGTTAGTCAATTGATTTATAAGGGAGAATTATTCAGGTGATGATTTATAAAGGCAGGACTGTCTAGTGCAGGAAATCAAGCAGGAAAAATCTAGCGTTAGCCAAAATAACTTGGCCATAAATGTTAAATTCTTACATCGTTTTGTGTCTATTTTAGTTGTTAAGACTCATAGTTTTTCACTACGGAATAGGTTTTAAATCAGTCAAAATGTATTCAGATCACAATAGTACTTCAACTAATATGTTCAAAGCTACAGTTAAATTTCTTTCTTTATTCACGACTTATCAGAAACAAATTACTTAATTCTGTTCGAGTTGGTAATTTAGGATATTTAGCTAATTTATTCGTGGAACATCTAAAGATAATCAACCGCTGGACAGTGTGTTTTAGATCATGTCCTTCGCCGTATTGGACAATGTTTTGTCTTAAAAATAGGTTGCACCTATGGTTTTCGGGTTTAGTTAAAAATTCCCTTCATGAATTGATATAGATTGATTTTTTGAAATTGAAACTTCATATTTGGCGGTGATTAATTACTGAAAAGAAATCTAATAATTTATTGTTTCATAGGTTTAATTTTTACACTCTTGGTTTGTTTCTCATGAATTTCTTTAGCTACTATCTTCAAAACTGTCTACACTTAAAATTTTTGTTGTGTTTCAGTTGACTTTCTAGCCCGTCAACTTCCCATCAATCAGGTTGTACATTATCTTATCGCTTTTCTTGCTCGTCAGTTGAGTGGACGATCATGTCATGTTGAGTTATATATTCGCTGGACACATTCCATACTCCGTTCACATGCATTAAACTTGCGAAGAATAGCTGCTAATTCAGCTTTATCTGAGTCTACAAATTTTAAGGAATCAACAGACAATAAAAAAGAGCTTAATAATCCAGGGTTTTTAACTTTACAAGGTGAATGGGCAACTTGTCAAGCAAGTTTAGTTCGCTTACAAGCTAGTCTGAATCATGTCAAGTCTCATCTAATTAAACAGTGAGTTATTTTATTTATCGATGTAGATTATTTGTTCATTTCCGAATGATTATTACCATCCTTTTAAAATTTTTATTAATTTTTTTATATTTAATGAATTTCATACTCATCTATATATGTCTATATTTAAATAACCTGTTGAATAAAATTGTTTTTGCAAGTGAAGGCTTACTAAAGTTTTAATACATTAAACCTGGTCACATATTGTTTGTTGAAAGTTCTGTTGTTTTTGCTTAAACCATGTAAATTAATTAATTGATCTTCATATTTGACATGGTAAGCAAGAACTTAATTGATTGGAGTGTTGGTTACATGCAATCACTTTTTAAATAGAAGTAATTATGTAACTTGATGAATTTGTTTATATGTGTCTGTCACAGATGTCTAATCGTATGTGTTTATTCATGTATCATTTTGATTTATTTCGAGGCTCTATTGTCTCCATATTCTTACTTGAGATTAATTAGTGGTCTGTTTTAAAATATTTTTTTTCCCCTGAAATATATCAATTTTTGTTGAATTGGTTTCATTTTGTCTATTAGCCAATGATCTCAACACTGGAAACGATTAAAAGTTTATCAGTACATATCGAATCGATGAATTTGTTACTAGAGTAACCCTGTTCTGTGTAAACCCTACTCGCTGCCTTAGTGAAAACTTAAAGCGAACACATAGCGCTTAAACCCCGACCGTAACGGCTACCTTGATACGGTGATCGACCGTGCCTATCGTGATGACCCAACCGAGCTATATTGGCTGGAACATATGTTCCTGAAGGTTCTACCATGCCAGGCAGGTCGATTGGAGAACGATGAGACCAAAAGCAGCTACTCGAGGTGTGAGAGCGAAGTCGTACTGCTGACTGCAGAGGGGTGTGACAGCAGTAAGGTGTTTCCCTCGGACAACCATCACCTGCAGCAATGCTACCTTCTCGCAACGAAAGGAAGGGATCAGAAAATATTGACCCTAAAAATGTCACACCTCACCTTATCTCACGGATTTCCGTCTCCGCCGGTAAAGCCTTTCAAACGAGAGCTAACACTTCAAAACCTTTTCTCAAAAAAGCCATGCGTGATCGGCCTCAAGCAGTTGTCCCTTGGGCTCTGCTGTCACGCTCCCAGGTCTTTAAGACCTGCACTGATCCGATTTCCTTTCAGGTTCGTCAATAAGACAGCCGGGAGGTGACATCTGACCTCATACTCGTAAAAGCATACGCGATCAAATTGGTCACAATCAAATCCTTCTTACACCTCTTAATAACAGCGCTTAAACCATGTCACTTGATACGCAGGGCTCACCCGTAAGGGTTAGAAAACCCTGATTCTAAACCAGTGATATACGTATACATCACGATCCGGTGGGAATAAATGGTGTACGAACCTGTTATTAGTCACCGGCTACCACAGGACGGTATCTCATGTTGTTGATTAATTATCTTCTGGATTATATCTTTAGGCTGGAAAATCAGTGGGTGACACCGTAAATCACTCACCTATTTCGGTTTGGATGTCCAAGCAATATTCCAACCTACACTAATCTTCATCTGGTGATTAATCGTACCCGACCGTAGCTGCTACCTTGACGTGGTGGTCGGGCTTGCCTATCGTGATGACCCAACCGAGCTATACTGGCTGGAACATATGTTCCTCAAGGTTCTACCATGCCAGACAGGTCGATTGGAGAACGATGAGACTAAAAGCAGCTACCCAAGGTCTGAGGGCGAAGTCGTACTGCTGACTGTGATGGAGGGGTGTGACAGCAGTAAGGTGTTTCCCTCGGACAACCAGCATCTGCAGCGATGCTGCCTTCTCACAAGGAAGGAAGGGTTAGAAAAGGTCGGCCCTAAAAATGTCACACCTCCCCTAGCTCACGGATTTCCGTCTCCTTGGGTAAGGGTGCCCACTAAGGGCCTTTAAGAACGGAGCTAATACTCAAAAAAACCCTTCATAAAAAGGCCGTGCGTGACCAGCCTCAAGCAGTTGTCCCTTGGGCTCTGCGGTCACGCTCACAGGTCGTTAAAATCGACACTAATCTATCTTCCTTTTCAGGTTCCTCAAGAAACAACCTTCCACGGTGTGGGCAGCCGGGAAGTGACAACCGCCCTCATACCCTTAACAGCACGCGAGACCGAATCGGTCAAAATCAAATCCTTCCTACACCCCCTAATACCTCTCTTATCTCCACGACTAACTCTTCTCACATTCATTCACCACAGTGCACAGCTAATGCAGACGATACGAGTTCGCGAAACGTCGTTCCTGGTCTCCTTAAACCTCGCTCTAGACTACATGTTGGAGCATTTAATGTACGGACATTGTGTCAAATAGGGCAACAGGCTTCCTTAGCTAGGACTTTAGAATCTCGTGCCATCGATGTATGCTGCGTCTCGGAAACGCGCATACAGGATCCGAGTCACGTCATACACTTGGCCACACCATGTCAAAATAAAGAAGCAGCTCGATTTACTCTTCGTGTATCTGGTAGCCCTGATGCTGCTTCCCGGGGTCTTGCTGGCGTAGGCATAGCATTGAGTCGTAGGGCAGAACAATCTCTCCTTGACTGGATCCCAATAGATAGTCGATTGTGCGCTGTCCGACTAAACGGGACAGTAAGGACTCGGAAAGATAAGGACAATCGCCGTTGCCTCTTCATCGTATCTGCCTATGCCCCCACTGAATGCAGTTCAGACGAGGTTAAGGATGAGTTTAACAGAAAGCTTTCTGACCTCCTCCAAAAAGCCAGGCGCTCTGATATAGTAATAATGGCTGATGACTTTAATGCTCAAGTAGGTAGACTAAGTGAGCAGGAGAGACACCTAGGTGGATGTTATGGTGTCGCGGCTCAGAGAACAGACAATGGTGACCGTCTGTTGCAAGCATGCTCAGACAACCGCCTATTCTTAGCAAACACTAACTTTAGGCATAAGGAAAAGCATCTGTTGACCTGGCGACCCCCGAAGTCGTCTCAACGTTGGACTCAACTAGATCACATCGCCATCAGCCACCGATGGAGGGGTTCGATAGAGGACTGTCGCTCGTTCTGGAGCACATGTCTAGATTCAGATCATGCCCTAGTGCGAGCGCGTATTTGTTTGAAGCTTACTGGGCGTAGGAAAGACACCGTAAGAAAGCCTCTTAGGGTTTTACTTAATGATAATAAGGCGAAAAATATATTTCAGGAACAACTAGAAAGACAGTTAGGCGACCATTTAAGCGATTCCCATCCGGAAGCAGGATGGAATGATATCAAAAAGGCTGTGGAAACAGCAATGATATCTGCTAGTAAGGTTGACCATAAGGCTAGAATGAAACCGTGGATCTCAGTAGCATCCATCGATCTGATGGATGCCCGAAAACTCATCCCACCTGGCTCTGAACATGATGAAGAACGAAGTCAACTTAGGCGCAGACTTGTAAAAAGCCTACGTAACGATCGCGAACAGTGGTGGGTGGCGAAGGCAAAAGCGATGGAAAAGGCAGTGGCGATCGGCAACAGTGGACAACTTTTCCGACTTATCAAGGAAACTGGTATTAGGAATCCTAGTGTAAGTGAGACTATCTCAGAAAATGACGGGACTATTATTTATTCTCAATCCAGGAGACCGGATCGATGGGCAGAACACTTTAGGGATCAGTTCAACTGGCCTCGAGCCACTCTTCGGTTACCCACGATCTCCAGTCATCCTGAATGGCAAATCGACGTAAGTCCTCCTAGTCTTAATGAAGTTGAAAAAGCGTTACGGAGTCTGAAGCGAGGACGAGCTGCAGGTCCTGATAGACTGACCCCTGAGATATTTAAGGATGGTGGTCCAGTTTTAGCAGCTAGATTGACTGAGATCTTAGGTAGAATCTGGGAACTGGACGTAATCCCATCCGACTGGTCTCAATCACTGATTGTCCCAATCTATAAGAAAGGACAGAAGTCTTCTTGTGACAATCACAGAGGAATAAGTCTAACTAATATAGTATCTAAAATATTGGCCTCAGTAATACTTCGACGCTTAACGAAAGCTCGTGAAGAGCAGACTAGAGAAAACCAGGCTGGTTTTCGACCTGGACGTGGCTGTATAGACCACGTCTTCACACTACGACAGGTCCTGGAACACACACACATTTAGGCGTCCTACAATAGTTGTTTTCCTGGACCTTAAGGCGGCATTTGACTCAGTGGATCGTGAGGTTCTGTGGCAGTGTCTGTCATTGAAAGGTGTACCAGAGAAGTACATTAACCTCATACAAGCTCTCTACTCAAACACCACTGGTCGAGTGAGAGCTTATGGCGAACTGTCACCGGAATTCTGTACTTCAAGTGGTGTCCGTCAGGGATGTCCAGTTTCTCCATTTTTGTTTAATTTTATCATAGACATCCTCTTAGAGTTAACATTAAGCTCGTCTGAATTTTCAGGAGTAGACCTTTTACCAGGTGGCTCGCTTATTGACTTAGAATATGCCGATAACATGTTCTACTTGGTGAAGACACTGACAAATTGCAGTCTTCTGACTACCCTAAGCAACAATGCAAGCATGTTCGGGATGCGGTTTTCCCCCTCGAAATGCAAAATGTTGCTTCAAGTTTGGGTTGCATCGGCACCTGAACTAGTGATAGGGAGTGAAGTGGTCGAACGTGTAGACCGCTTCACTTATCTTGGGAGTCTCATCAGTGCTGATGGCCTGGTGACTGACGAAATCTCGGCACGGATACAGAAGGCTCGATTGGCTTTTGCCAACCTGCGTCACTTATGGCGTAGGCGAGATATCCGTTTGCTGACTAAAGGACGAGTGTACTGTGCAGTAGTTCGCTCCGTCTTACTTTATGGCTGTGAAACATGGCCAGTGAGAGTAGAAGATACTCGTCGGTTATTGGTTTTCGATCATAGGTGTCTTCGAAGCATTGCTCGTATATCGTGGGACAACCGAGTGAGCAACGCTGTTATTAGGAAACGGGTACTAGGTAAGAATGGCAGATCAATAGATGAAGTGGTGAAACTTCATCAGTTGAGGTGGTTGAGACACGTGTTGCGTATGCCTAACCAGCGACTCCCTCGTTGAGCTTTGTTTTGTAGTGTAGGAATAGGTTGGAAGAAAGTTAGGGGCGGCCAGACCAAAACATGGCATAAATCCATGAAGTCATTGACTAGTGGACTGAGCCATGTCGGTAATTGTCGACTCCCTGGTTGGGGTCCGCGAGATGATAATAATCGATGGTTAGAGACCTTGAATGACATGGCTCAAAATCGTTCGCAATGGCGCCAGTGCATTTATTCTCTGTGTTCTCTCAAATCCTAATCTTCTGGGTTCTTCAACACCTCAAGTTTTTACTTTCTAAACTTATCTCATTGAATCATACTTCGTGAATAATATCTTCTAATTCTAACCTCTCCGATTACTTCTAATACCTTTACTACCTCTTCTACTATTGGATTTAAACTGACAATTATATCTCTGTGCTGATGTGGTATGGCGACATGAACTGATGTACTTACGTACGAAGTTCTACGTTGCAACTGACTGACTGACTGACTGATTAATCGTACGAGATTTTATATGAACTAATTAGATTAATCAGTGACCTAACATAATTCAGTAACTTTAAGCTTTTCAACTTGGTACTAGTTTTCCACCAATAAACTTTTGTTGCTTTAAGTAGACTCATTCAGTTAATTGTTATTGATATTTAATACTCTCATTTTAATTCTTTTAATTTGCTCCCGGTCTATTTCAGTATAAATTCATTGTTCTAATTACTTTTTACTAAATCCGGTTTAAATTTTTTTTTCATAACTAATTCATTAAACCTCTCATATCGTTTGTTTTAGTCAATGTTTTTCTTTCAACTTTTTATACACATTAACTGATTGTATCGATGCTAATCAATGGCAAAAAGTAGAATAATTTATGCATTTTAAATTTATTTAGTCTTCAATTATGTTGCGAAACTGATCTATATTGTATGTGTTCATACATAACAGCAAATGTTAGTAAATTTGTCATTTATAACCTTCACTAAATAATAAGTTACAAACAATTATTCCACCAGTTTTTTTCCGTTCAGTTAACTATGTTCTTGATTACACTTTTCAACGCCGAATGTTATTAGTGTGAGTTATGACCTTAAATATAGTGTTCTTCACTTGCTTTCCATTAAAATGACTACTGGTCCATTGAATTTTCTAATTTAAGTGTCCTTTTTGTCTATGTGTCGTTTTTCTTCGCTTATTATTTCCTATTTCTCACTATAGTTGTTCTTAGAAACTCATCTATAGTTACTACCGTCAAGTTACTTTCAGTTTTTCCACTCTGTTCCTTGTTTTTTTTTTGTCCTACTTTCTAATTCTCACTTGTTTGCTGGTTTTTCTTCTTATCTCTTTAATTAATTTGATAAAGAATGACAGATTATTTTGATGAAAAAAAAAGTTAATGAGAGTCAATTCTCTTGTTAATCAGATAAATGGATAAAATTAACTAACGATTATCTATCATCTCATTTTTGTGTCTTAAAATTCCCAATGATTTTGTTATCATTATTATTATTGTTATTAATTCTTGTTATTATTATTATCATTGTTGTGTTAATAGATTGACGTAAATCAACATTGTTTCTGTTGTTTCTGCCTCACTTTTTTTCTTTCGTCCTTTTTAAATTCTTTTGTGTGTTGAAGTGTTTGTTTTGCAAATGATGTTGCATTTCTTGCAAAAAAAGAATACGAGAAAATATAAGTATCATTTGTTATCAGTCCTCTGTTACCATAGTATCAAGGTTGTGTTTTTTCTTCGTTCAATTGATCTATTGTGTTTGTGGCTTATATTATAAAGATTAATTTTTTTTTATTTTTTACAAAATAAAAGTCTATACCAGTAACTGATATTTTCTTCTAAGAAAGTTACACTGTTTTGTAAATTCATATTGACCACTTCTATACCGATTTTGTATGACAAAGAATCATTTCATGATTCAGGTTTTAAGAACAAGGCATTGTCTGTAGATAAAGCGATAGCGGTCTCAATTACTTTACGTGTATATGACGTTTTGTTCTAAAACTTAAGTCGATTTATTAACTGGATATTGATGTCCACCATTTAAGTTGCTCTATGGTGTACTTCGGAAAGGAATTGTGTCATATTTAAAACTGTGACGAGTTTTTTTTTTTGAAATTCTGCAATCCAGTCCTACCTGCGTAACAGATATGATGTTCATCAGTATATTAACCTTCTAATAGAAACTTCAAAATACTGTTGCTTGTCATAATGTTCATTTCTCTTGGATTGCTTGTAAAACTGACTGGAAACACTAGCCAGTTTACTAGCTTCTTCTTTAATTGTTGGAGGAGATCGTGTATCTACTCTTATTATCGTATAAATTGTGTTATCATGTCAACATCCGTTTCGATAGATGTTCCTTAACTAAGACTAGTCAATGCTATTAAGAACTGTGCTACTCAGAGGGTTGGCAATCTAGAAGTTAGTCAGTTTACTTCACATTTCTGTGTGTTCATTAAAATCAAAGTGTTCTTATCTTGTTTTTGTGCTTAATTCCTTTTTTCTTGTTACTCTATGGCTTAAGTTTCTCTTCCCGTTTTTTATCACGAAAGTTGACGCGTTTTTTCTGTAGCACATCTCTGAGCTCTCTCTGTTGTAACATAGTTTTGTAATTAATAAACCACTCATTTTGATGCTTATCTGTTCAAGTTTTCACATGCATAGTAAGACCTATGTGAGTCATGAGAAGATTTTAATTTTTGTTAGTGATATGACATTATCATAGTTTCCAATTTGTGCAAAAGCAAACCAGATATAGTTTTAGTATAACTAAAAATGTGTATGACCTAATACTTAAAACATGTATATTTCAGGTTGATAATAATTCTTTTTACGTCCAGTCTTGATGTTCATAAATCTACTGATTTATATTTTTTTGTAGTTGTGAAACTGTGGACAATTTGTGGAACTATTTCGAGAGTTTATCCAAATTATATCACGAAAAGGGTAACAATAATGTTCCGAATGAAAATGTCATGGAATGTAATCTCGAACAATAAATTTCATATTACACGTATTCTCTCCGAAATTATGAAAAAGCGAGTATTTAAAACTAGCATAACTCGATTCGTTAATATACAATCATAACTTTGTAGATTATCTATTTATCAGGAAATGTATCTTCCAAACATACTCATAATCAAATTTTTGTAAATATAAATTCTTTCGTAAGTGTTCATGGTTTTAATTAATATCTAGATTTAGTCGAAACTCAGTTTTACACAATATCAACCGATATAAAAGCAGACTAAGAATATGCCTCTCTTCCTTCGACATTCTAAGTAAGGCTTGTCTTCTGACGCGGTTTGGTGATTCCCTTAAGGTATGTTCTATCCACCTCCAGCGCTTCTTCCTGACTTGTTCATGAGCTGGAATCTGGTTTATTCTTTGCCACAGTAGGTGTCTGTTGATAGTGTCTGGCCAGCGGATTCGAAATATCTTGCTTAGACAACTGTTAATAAATATCTGGATGACCTTCGTAACTCTCCAATCTTCCTCCTCATACAGTAGAGCTGTCTTGAAATTTGTATTGAAAGTTCTAACTTTGGTGTCGGTTGATAGTTGTTTTGAATCGTGAATATTCTTCAGTTCTAGAAAAACTGCCTTTGCTTTTCTGATCCGCTCTTTTTTCTGCACCAGATCCACCGTGTTCATCAATGATACTGCCCAGATATGTAAATATTTTTACGTCCTCCAAGGTATCTCCATCATGTGTGATTTGGTTGGTGCTTATTGTGTTGTATCGGAGAATCTCGCTTTTCCCTTTGTAAATGTTGAAACCGAGTGCTGCAGAGACTGCCGCCACATTAGACATCCTCTCCTTCATTTTTTGTTGCGTGTGCGGTAGAAGAGCTAGATCATCTGCAAAGTCCAGATCGTCCGGCCGCATTCCAGCTGTTCGCTGTACCCTTTGCTTCTCCCCAGAATTTGATGTTTTCATAATCCAGCTTATGACCAGGATTACACGAAAGGGTGAGTAAACTGCTTTGTCTGACACCAATCTTCAATTGGAACGAGTCTGTCAGCTGTCTTCCATACATGATTTTGCTATGTAGTCTATCATAAGAATTCCGTATCATATCGAGTATCTTCTCAGGCATGCCGTAGTGTCGAGGAAGCCTTCATAGTGTTGTTCTGTCTACACTATCAGACGCTTTCTTGTGGTCAATGAAGTTGATGTATAGTGGTGGATTCCATTCGGCCGATTGTTCAACAACGATCCTTAATGTCTCGATTTGGTCGCTATATGATTGATCTTTAGAGAATTCAGCCTACTGATAACGAAGTTGGGCGTCTATTGAATCTTTATTCTGGTTTAATAACACTGTTGAAGACTTCCTGGCATTGAGAGAAAAGTGATGCCTCCATACATTTCACAGTTGCTAAGGCCTCCTTCCTTTGATAAGGTGTCCCTTGTCTTATTGTAGAAAGTTTTAAATCAGTTTATAGTATAGAATCGGCATTAGGGGAACTCAACAGTTATTAAATACTCACACGTCAACAGACGCAAAACGTGATATCTTTGTGAACAAGTTGACTTATCAATAGTGTTCTAATTTCAACTTGAATATCGATATTTAAATCACAGCGCACAGAGGTGGCTAGATTTTTGAAAATCCTGAACATGGTCATCTGTTGTGCATCCGTCATAGTTAGAAAGAAACTTTTCATTTAGCTCAGATGCTAGATGATGATGTTAAGTTCATGGTTTTATTTATGTTACAACACCACTACTCTTACCGAAAGACGAATTCAAGCAACTACTACTGTTGTGCACTAAAGATGCTAAATTTCAATATTACCATAAAGCTGAAAGATTGGCCATGGGCAGTCAACTGGGTTTAATCCTCGCAGATATCTTTGTGGCGAACCTGGAACAAAAAGTTATCAAATCGATAGTTAATAACACAACTATGTTTTTCATATGTGGATGATTCATTTGTTGCGTGTAACAATTCTCAATATGCTTCTCGTTTATTGGAACAGAGCACAACCTATTGTACCAAACTAAGTGTTTATTTAGGCAATCAAATGTGGACAAATACCATCCTTATGTTGTCTGTAATTATGTTTAACACTTAACATGTACGTTCAATCACATACATCGGACAAACAGAAAGGAGGCTTTCTGTCCTCATTTCCGAACGTATTCCAGAAAAGTTTGGGCTAAATGGACATAAAGTCTTTAACAGCAGCCATGACGTTAAAGTCCTCAAATTTGCCAAAATCATTCAACGGAGGCATCGTTACGCATTGCTGAATTTGTTGCAATGAAAATATTTAAACCAAATTTATCTATGCAGAGGAAAACAGTTTTGCCTTTACTCTGAGCTGCTCTGCGTAACGTAGTTTCTGTGTCGAAAATGTTTTTGTTCCCATGATCGTTTAGAATATTCCGATATTTAACATATGAATGAGTGGACGTTCCAAGTTTTTATTCTGCATTACGATCTCTTAATAATAGTCTATTTCCACATTTTAACTCAGATGATTTTTGCTGTTCCTGATACAAAGTATGTACATTTGTTTCCTTTTAATGACTAATGCTATGATTTTAGGTTGTAAGCCGCTAAGGAGAATGCACGAAATAAATCAATCCATGTTATTCTGCAACGTAAAATAGCTGTAAACAAACTACTATTCATTAATGCCATGAGTTAATAACCGATCAAAAGTAGCCAGTTTCTACTTATCAGTAATGCAAGGACACGGAACTTGTGCTACAGTTTTTTGAACCAATGGCGATTGTGTAAAGACTTAAGTATGATTGAAGTAAGATTCTAGTTTCAAAGGAAATGTTTTTATTATTCAGCGACTTGGCTGAATTCATAAAATGTCTATAACTTACTGACGTATTTATCGAGAAGTTTATGAGCAAAGTTCCAATAAAGATGGTTTTACATTTCGAGATATTTTAGAAGTTTAGATAAATTAGTTACTTCATTTGTTTTATTTAAGTTGCAATCGTTATCTCAGTGGGAAACATCGATAAGAACATGAATTGAAAAAAGACGATATTGTTTGTTAAAAAACTTTATAGACTCAGTACAACTATAAATGATTACGTTTCTTATATTCTGATCCTTGAAAAATTTAAATAGAGCGAGAAATATACAGATTAACACAAATTCATTGTATTTCAAGGCTGCAAACGGTTTAAATTTACATGAGTAATATTATTCTAAAAAGTCTTACAAACTGTAATAAATGCATTATAGTTCGAAGCTAAATAAGAAACAAGATGGAAAAGCCTAAAATTTTAGTCGAAATTCTATTTAAAGGGCTAGAAGATTGTGTACAACCAACAGAATACAAGAAATCACATCAAGATGTACTTATGAATTTACATGTAACTGTAGAAGGACTGGAAAAAGGCTATTCGCGAGGTTTATTAAACATATTTCCTGAAAGTTGTGTATGATAGAAAGTGAGGTATTCACAAGTGCTAATACTAGACATTTCATTGATAGTTTACATAACAAAAACATTCCAAATAATTAACAAGCAGTGAACGCCAATTCCACTCCGGTTTACAGAGAAGACCATTGACATCAAGTGCTTTCGACCTAATTATAGTATGCTGAGAGGAAGAGTGATCAATTCCTCATTGCCATACTAAGAGAGTCATAAAATTTTTTTGACTAGGTTATTTCTTATTTGTATTTTTAACCAACAGGCCAGCTGTCGTAATCTGATATTCTTAAAAGTCAGTAAGACATTGATAAACTTACGTTGATATATATAGGTGTTATTTAGAACGATCTGTCAGTGATTATCACATTACTTTACTCGATTCATCATTTCCTTTTATCTAATTTGATAAATCAGTATACATAGAGCTAATTAGGAATTAAGTCCTTGTCATTTTGCGGACTGCGAATATTTTAGATTAAATGGAAATATCAACACCAATTACAGCTTTCGTAATATCAATATTAAACTTTAAAATATGTTTCATTAATTGTGAACTTTCACAACTTATTCTGATACTTTTCTACTTATCCATCTTCTTAGTCCTATCATAATTGCCTTTGACTTGAATTCCTTTGGGGATATGTGATAAGGTTGATTCCAAAAACTAATGATCTTATTTTAAGGTTCCAAATAAATTCAACTGGTTTTTTTTGCGATAGAATTTCGTGTACGTAAACATAACTGATAATCTTATTGTTGGGAAAACACGCAGGAGCTTTGAAAAGAGAAATATTTTCGTAAACATAAATTATTACATTCTTTCATTCTGTGAACCCGAATGAAAGATTACCAATAACAACTGCGGCGATGGAATGTATTATTCATAGTCTAAATGGAGACAGAACAACTAGAGCAGTATCCCATTTTTCGACCAAACATTTAAGCGCAGTTCTTTCAAGAGGATTGATTTTGATAGTTGCTACCTTAAAGTGAGTCAGCATTATGTACACTGTCAACAGATGTTATCAGTAAAAACATTTTCATTCCTCTAGTAATAGAGAAATTGCAGCAGTAGCAATCAGATAATTTGTCTTCATGTAGAGTTTTATTTGTCGACTCATTATTTGTATCTGAAGGAAATGCGTAAAAAATGTTAATATTTTTCGTTTACTGATAAATGAAAACAATGGATGCTTCAGTTTAACACATTTGGATGAGAATTGATTTTGACTTATCAATAAAAGCTATACTTAATATGGCACTTCGTCCTTTTGTTGGTTGCTCAATAAGTTCTTGAACAAAACTACTAAAACAACTTCCTATCTTTCAAATGAACATTCACCCACTCGGATGTCAGTAAGGATATCTAGCAGGTCAGTTCAATACTAAATGTAGCACTCCGATCGTTTTAGTAGTTTTTTTTAACTTTATTCTGTGTAATATACAATTCTAATCCTTTTAGATTATTTTCTAGGAGAAATTTTAGGTAAGTCTGAAAGGTATATATATATATGTTAGTGACCTTAAGGAAGATAAAATTGCAAAGATTTTGAAGTATCTGCGGAACAAATTAAGCAATTCTAGTGTTATTCAGTACAAGAATTTTTTCGTTTCTTAGAAATTTATAAAACAGAACAGAAGATGATAATAGATTACAAAGAAGTATCAAAAAAAATGTTGAAACACTGAAATTGACGGTAATCATTTCATTTGAAGAACCG